CGACTCAGTTGTTGAAGTGGCTGCCTTGAGCTGTGGCTGCAAGGTTGTTGGTGCTTCTTGAGGTGGCCATCCTCGAACTCGGTGGTGGTCCGTACATGGACCGACACCCCGGGCTAGGGAGGCCGTCATGCTGAAGAAGGAGTCCTATCAGTCCTTGCTGGCTGGTGGGACTCTGGAAGCTGCTGAGGAATACCGGAGGGCCAAGCAGTCCACAGCCTTGGCTGTTGCTGAGACAAAAGCTTGGATGTGGGAGGAGTTCGATGAGGCCTTGGATAACGTCTCTCGGTCAGCTCCAAGGAGATTCTGGCAAACCATCAGATGGCTGAGGGGAAAGCAGCACTTTACTAACACTGTGTTCAGTGAAAATGGGGTGCTGTTGACCTCAACCAGTGATGCCGTCAGGAGGTGGAAGTAATACTTCTCTGACTTCTCAATCCCACCGGCATGTCTTCCATGGAAGAAGCGGAGTCGCGGGACTTCGAGGTTGGTCTGTCCATAATCGTGGCTGAGGTCACCAAGGCAGTGCTCCAGGGGTGGATGAGATTTACCCTGATTTCCTGAAGGCTCTGGATGTTGTGGGGATGTCTTGGTTGACATGCCTTTGCAACATCGCATGGATATCGGAGGCAGTGCCACTGGATTGGTAGACTGGGGTGTTGGTTCCCCTCTTCAAAAATGGGGACCAGGGGGTGTGCTCTAACTACAGGGGCATCACTCTCCTTAGCCTCTCTGGTAAGGTCTATTCCGGGGTACTGGAGAAGTAAGTCCGATCATTGGTTGAACCTCAGATCCAGGAGGAACAATGTGGGTTCCGTCCTGGCCGTGGAACACTGGACCAGCTCTTTATCCTCACTAGGGTCCTCGTGGGGTCATGGGAGTTTGCCCATCCAGTCTACATGTGCTTTGTGGACTTGGAGAAGACATTTGACCGTGTTCCTTGGGGTACACTGTGGGGGTCCTCCGTGAGTATGGGATTGGAGGCCTGTTGTTACAGGCTGTTCGGTCCCTATACAAGCAGTGCGAGAGTATGGTTCGGATTGCCGGTAGTAAGTCGGACCCCTACAGGGTGGGAGTTGGACTCCTCCAGGGCTGCCCGTTGTCACCGATTCTGTTCATAACTTTTATGAACAAAATTTCTCGGTGCAAGCAGGTGGTGGAGGGTTTCTGGTTCGGTGGCCTCAGGATTCCATCTCTGTTCTTTGCAGATGATATGAGCCTGTTGGTGTCATTGTGCTATGATCTCCAGCTCTCAAAGGAGCGGTTCGCAGCTGAGATGAGAATCAGCACCTCCAACTCTGAGGCCATGGCCCTCAACTGGAAAAGGGTGGATTGATCTTGTTGGGTTGAGGCTGAGGTTCTGCCTCAAGTGATGGAGTTCAAGTTTCTTGGGGGTTTGTTCACGAGTGAGGGAAGAATGGAGCATGAGATTAACAGACTGTAGACTGTAGACTAAAGCTTGTCTAATGTTGATCCATCATGTGATTCAAGATTCAATGTGATTTTGTCTGATTCAGCAGAGTGCTTTGTTTACATTGAGTGTGGGTCCCCGTTGTAGACTTCCATCAATGTATCTGATGCATCAATGTAACTGCATCATTTTATAAAGTTTAGGATAACTTTTTCTATGTTTGATTTCATAATTTGCAGTGAGTACCTTTCATTTTCACAAATTCAGTTCATTACAGCAATGATTTCAATTTATCTTTAAACGTTGGCCGGAAATTCTTCCTGGGGTTTAAAATAATCCAATTCACACTAAAACAGTCATGAAAATAAATTGAGATTTAGAACATATAAAACACGCCACACTGCTCTGTTGTCTCTTCTGTAAACAGTATTGTCTGTTAAAGGGATCAGATTGATATCTGTAACAGTAGTGTTATGTTATGTGGACAGTTTTTGTTTCTTTATAAAACCTTTGCTGTCTCTCTTAAGCCGTAAATCTGCTGTATGTTTCCTGATTGGACAGATGGAGGGCTACTGTACTCTTAAAGACGTTTGTTTTGAGTTTATCATCAAAAGTGGAGAAAAAAAATATCAGCTCAATTTCTATTGGCTCAATGAGGCTAAATAAAGGTTGAATGACAAATTTTCAGGCTGCGATTTGAAATGTCAGCATGCTCACGACATGTTTATTTTCACACTTCTGTGATGATCTACAGAAAAGTCACACTAAAGTGAGATACTACCCAAACTGAGCCAACTTGTGTTTTCATCATCACTTCATGCCAAAACCAGCTGATTCAGAGAATGTAACAGCGTGAAATATGACAATCATATCACTGAAAATGATTATGTTTTGAGAATGTGGAACTCAAATTGCAGACAAAATAAATAAAAAAAAATCTCTACGGCAAAATAAAAAATCCAACTTATTAAACATGAAAAAAGCTGACGTGGCAACATAAATACTTTCAATCGAAAGCAGAAGGACTCGAGGGAGAAAAACATGAATGGCTGTAGATCAGAACACATGTACCAGGAAGTAACATAAGTACAATGAATTTAAACAGACAGACATTGACAAACACCTGGGGGAGAGACAACGAGCATCAGGTGAGAGTGGGACGGGCAGGAGCAAAGCGATGGGGAGAAAACACTGGAGAAGTTTAAACACAAGTACAAGAACCACAAGAAAACTAAACACAAAAGACAGATCTTGGCCAAAATGTTCATATAAGCAACAGAATGTGTTGAGTATGGAAGTTTACTACAGGAATAAGAAATAAACAACTTAAACTTACTAAAATCTACCAGCAATATCAATACAAAGAGCAGTAAAACAAGCTAAATTACAGAAAAAACAAATTGTTAGCTTTTTCTTTATATTTTTAATTTCACTCACAAGGACTGAATACCCAGAGTGAAATGACTGAATATGAGCAACACAGGAAGACACTTCAGTGCTTTATTTACAGTGAATGTAGTCACTGGAAAATATCAGGAGCCCCGGGGAGCAAGAAGAAGGGTCAGCACAAATATTCAGCAGGGATGGTTTTAACTAGATTGTCTTCTGATTCTTACTGGTTAGTGAATGGTGTTGGAGAATCACTGGTTCCAATAATCCTGTGTGAGCAACAGTTGTCCAGAGTGGAAAGTAGTCAGTGGTGGGCGAGTGGTTGGACGGCAAGGAAGACAGCCGAGGAAACCACGAGGAGGTTTGGAGAATTTCACAGAGTCCAAGAACAGGAAAATCTCAGGAGGTTCACTGAAAACAGCAAACAAATAAGTAAACATAAGTCACTAGAATAGTAAATGGCTATAAGCACGAACCATTGGTAAGGTAATGCTGCAGCGTCGAAGGGAAGTCATCAGATGCCTTTTTGGGCGTCTCATCATTGGTCTCAGGAGTGGTAGTCTGGCACCATTTAGTGACCTCAGAAAAGAAGTGAACTGGAACTCCCACAATTTCCTTCTTGACACAAATCTAAACAACTTTAAGGTTCTGGGTCTGTTTCAAACTAAATATTTTAAATAAGGACTTTTTATTTCTCAGCTGTTGTCAGTTCTGATTCATGCCAATTAAAGTAAAATGACATTTCTGTGGTTTCTTTCTATATGTCTTTTTTATTTGATTATTTAAGCTTTATACATTTCCTCTTGTGGTATTTCCTAAAACATTTCTTGTCTTCGGAACCTTTAATGTTTTGCATAATCTAAATACATTCCCAGTGGTATTACACATTTATAAAACTTAAATGTCTTCCTTCCATCAAACTCGGCTACATGAAATATTGAAAACATGCCATTTCATAATCTGTTTAGGATTTATTAGAGCTCTTAGAATAAAAAAAAAATCTCTCACTCTTTACAAACATTTATACCAGATTTGACCTTTTTTCTTGCTCATCATTAATTTTATCCTCGTTAATCTGAGCGTTTGCTGGAGCGTTTAGGAACAGTAGGAGATTTGAGCTTCTTGTCTTTGAGGAGCTGAGTCCTCTCACTGTGAGCTTGATATTCACCACTGAAGCCAAAACACTTTGCTATTAAAATACAGTTCAGTCATCCTTTTATCATTTGATCCTACTGAGTTCTGGTGTTAACGCTTTTGTGTTTGCCCCCTCTGAAGATCACAATCAGAACCAAAAGAAGTTTTGAACAATTCAAGAATGAACTTTACCACAACAGGCTGTTCTGGGTGGAGCTGGGTGGAGTGAGCTGGAACAGAAAATACTGCTCTAAACCAAATCAGAGCCATTCAGTGATTTGACCTTTCCTGAAAAAACAATCAAGAATCATACGTGTTCATAATACTCGTCCATAGTCACATGCTGGGAGATAAGAGACTCATTATATGTTCAGTGTGAATATAAAGCCAAGGTTTTCAGTTCAGCTCCACCCGCCTACGCCCTGCATTTCTCTCAACATTTCTCAGGGGTCTTTGCTTTCTTTTCACTCTGTCTCTTCATTGTTCCTGCTTCCAATTCACTGGACCACACTCTGCTTCTCGAATCACCCTGAAGGCATTTTATCCTCCCTCTGTGCAGGAAACGCTGAGGGAGACAGCCAGGTATGCAGGATGCAAACACACACCAGTTTCACCAAACCAGTAGGGCAGAAACCTCATGGGACAGAGTCCATGTTCTGAGATTCAAACCTAAAATCCAGTTTCTGTGTCACAAAATGTAATAATACAGTTTTATTTGTTTTAAATGTTGTCACTAACGTTTTTTTCCTGTAAATGTTATTGATTTACTCATTTTAAGATGGGTTATTCGTACTATCAAAACTAATATAGCAAATTTTAAAAAAATTAGTTTACTAATAGGTCAACATTTATTCTTTTTTTAGCCTTTGAACCAACTTTTTTTTTCTGAATGAGATTATGAATAAGAGGAAATGTTCGTTTAGCTGTGCATCTACTCATGTGTGCCTCGGTTCGTCTGAATGGTTTCATGTTGCTTCCTCCTCTCTGTTGCTGAAGGATTGGACACCTCAGCGGCTCCTCCCCAGCCAAGACCGCCCCACCTCTGTCCCACCTCTGCAGGACTTACCTGGGAAAGCTGATGCAGCAACAACAATCCCTCTCACCACCAGGAGCGAAGCCTGAGCGAGGAAAGACCCTCTGAACATCTGAGCCGCATGTGAGTACTGATAGAAACCTTTCCCCCTGTTTATATTAAATAAACATTTATTGCTACTATTTGAAGTAAATGTTCTTCTTTAAACTGCAGATCCAAGTTTCACCTGGAAAAAGTCTTCAAGTGAAGTATTATTAGTGTTATTAAAAAGCATAGACTACAAGTGTGATGCATATTAGTATTTATTAGCGGGCACATTTACCGTATTAGTTTTTTATAACATAAACATATTACTGCTGAGAGCGAACATCTATTTGACAAAAGTTTCCTGGTCCAGACAACCAGCAACTCATGACGACAAACGTTACAACACATACGTACAAGATAAACTCCTTTTGAATTTGTCAGTACAAGTTCTCAGTGCAGTTCAAAGGAAAAGAAATAGGAAAATAGCTTTTATACTTATGTAGAGGAGGTATATCTGTAAATAAAAATGGAAAAGGCCAAGATTGGGATCTACAAGTTTTCTTTAAGTACAGGCAGAAGACAGACTTGACAACAACACAGGAAGAGGTTTAATATTTGTAAAAAGCATCGTTGCTCCATGGTTTATTAAAAGCATGGGCAGGGGTGCATGTTGTCAGAACACCACCCTGCCCATGCAACAAGAAACAGCCAAAAAGAGGCTACAGAGATTTAGGAAATCAGCTAATAATGTAAAAGACAGAGATCTAGGTGCAAAAACTTCCTCAGGGTTTTACCAAACAGCTTTCTAGTAAAGTAAAGCAACTCTGAAGAAGTACAAAACTTTAACAAAAAGTTAAAAGTTGCTTCTTTTCTGCTCTGTGTATAGAGAAATAGCTTCATGTTCATGGAACTAAAACTGGTCTGACTCCTCTGCAGTGAGCACAATGGCCTCCACTACCTCCATGCGCAGCTTCTCGGTGCGACAGCCCTCCTTTTCCAGTGTGTCTGTGAGGGACAGTGGACGTAGCATTCGCTCCAAGCCCCATGTCTCCCCTCTGTCCACCATCAACACGCTGTCTCTGTCCCGTTCTGTCTCAATGGGAAATGGCCTCAACATGCTGGGCTCCAGCCTCTCCCTCAACGGCCTCGGCGCCAGCGAGAAGGAGACGATGCAGGGCCTGAATGACCGGCTGGCCATCTACCTGGACAAGGTGAGGTCTCTGGAAAGGTCCAACGCTGAGCTGGAGGCAAAGATCAAGCAGATCATGATGGAGAAAACTCCAAAATGTCATGACATCGACGGGATGATGGCTCAGGCACATGCCATCGGGCAAGAGGTCAGACTGAACTCCCTTTAAAACGTTTTACTGCAGGAAACTGGACAATCTGCATTTTCTGTAAATGTTGAGGTCTGAATGACTGCTGTGATTTGATGAAATAGCTGATTTTTTGTTATGGCTTAAAAAATTAAAACACTAGCTAAAAGTAAAAACAAAAAAAGGTGAAACACTAATTAAAAGAACCAAAACCCTAGGTAAAAGTAGCATAATGATTGCTAAAAGCTAAAAAAAAAAAAAAAAGCAGATGCAGCACATAAACAAACCAAAAGCTAAAAGTAGTAGAACACCAGCCAAAATAAACAAAACTCTAGGTAGAACCTAAAGGTGGCAAAATACTAATTAAAAGCTAAACATTACATTAGCACAAACATTAGTCAAAAATAGCAAAACAGTAGATAAAAGCTAAACTAGCAAAACACTCACCATAAATCAAAATAACCAAAACACTAGGTACTTATAGACAATAGTAGCAAAATACTAGCTGAAAGCTAAACATTACATTAGCACAAAAATTTGTCATAAATAGCAAAACAGTAGCTAAAAGCTAAACTAGCAAAACACTTGCCATAAATCAAAATAAGCAAAACACTAGGTACTTATAACAAATAGTATCAAAATACTAGCTGAAAGCTAAACATTATATTGGCATAAAAATGAATCGAAAGTAGCAAAACGGTAGCTAAAAGCTAAACTAGCAAAACACTTGCCATAAATCAAAATAACCAAAACACTAGGTACATATAGCCAATAGAAACAAAATACTAGCTGAAGGCTAAACATCACATTAGTACAAACATTAGTTAAAAATCGCAAAACTAGCTAAAAGCTAAAGCATCCAAAGGTTTGCTGAAAGCTAATAGTAGCAGAAGGCTAATGTAATGTATCAAGATGCTAGCTAGAAGCTTAAAGGTAGCAAAAGACTAAGAAAAAGCTAAATGCAACAAAATACAACTAAAACCTAAATGTATTCCAAGATTAGAAGCTTAAAGTCCTAAACACTTGCTTAAAGCTGAAAATAGCAAAAGACTAGTTAATAGCTAAAAGTAAAAGGCTAGCTAAATGTTAAAAGTAGCAGAATGGTAGCTAATAACTAAAAACTGTATAAGAAAATCAAAATATATACCAGTATTAAACAAAAAGACTAAACAAATATTAAACATCCGCAACGTTTCTCGCGAAAAAGCCACAAAACTCCATTGAGGCACATCAACACAGTAAAAACCAGAACATTTAATGAAACAACATACCGTTTGAACTAAATGTTGACCATGTTTCCTTGCTCAGGTGAGAAAGAGGACCCTGGAGAACGCCCGGATCATGCTGGAGATTGACAATGCCAAGCTGGCAGCCGATGATTTTCGGGTGAAGTGAGTGTCACACAGAAGTTCTTTTCTTTTACCTGCCTGCGAGTGTTCGCATGGGAGTGCCAGACTGGAGAGCTATGTGGATAAATGACTTTTCTGTCAGGCCGTGAAACTAGAGTTGAGATTCACACGGTACTCAGGCCCGAACAGCCGAGTCACCTGTTTAGAGCCGGAGGTGATGGATTGTTCTGCCCAGAAAGACGTCTCTGAAGAGTCCACAGTTGGTAACGATCAGGCAGAGATGGAGAGTCACAGCACGCCCACTGCCGGTGTTTTTCACAATGTGTTGATACGCGAGGGAGAGACGCAGTGACTGGCAGTGATGAATTAGTTTAGCTGGTTGGATTTTACCAATGGGGCTTAATGTCAATCATATTTTCACAGATTTTAAAATCTGTCATTTTCAGGCAACGTAACTTTCTTATTAGAGCTTAAGATTTAAAATCCATAGATATGTTTTTAACAATATACAATACAGAAGGTACCTAATACTTACCGGGTATATACCAAGTACATATCTGGAACTCCCTCAGTGGTCCCCCACTCCCACACTTGGTCAACACTTAGTACTTATATGATACTTACCTGATACTTACCTAGTACATACTTGATACTTACATGGTAAGTACATGATGCATGCCTAGTACATACTATAGACTAATCTGTGTACCTGGTGCATGCCTGGTACATGCTTGGTACTTTTCTAGTACATACTTTAAACTTATCAGGTGCATACTTTGTATTTAATATTTGTTCTTGCCTGCTACTGGGACTGCAGCTGGAAATTAGCTGAAAGATATATTTTAGTACAGTGCATCTTTACTCAATTTGTGTTTAATGCTTTTTTTCTGTTCATGGTTTCTGACAAATAAACAAATAAAGATAAACATTTGTTACTGTTATCTGGTACATACTTGGTACATTTTTGTCACATGATGTGTGGTATTCACGTGAACCCTACCTGGTACTTTTCTGCTGCTGGTACTTATTTGTTACATACTTGGAACTATTTTGGTACATACCTGATAATCATCAAATATGTACTTGGTATGTACACAGTATACTGTATGTACCAGGGTGTAAATGTATTGCTACCATAAGTTTTGTAATTAAATGAAGCACCAAGTACATTAAAATGCTGCATTTATTTTGCAGCATCTTTATTTCTGGACAGATAATATTGGTTTATTTAAAAACCCAGAATTTAAAGCATCGTTTTTGTGTTTTACTCGAACGTTACTTGAAACCTGTCCAGCGTGTACTCCTCTTCTTGTATAATGACGGCTGCAGATAGGCAGCAGCTCCAACCCTGCACAGAACAGCGGGTAAATAAAACGGATGATAGAATGAAAAACAAGTTTATTTTCACACGTTCAATTTTTTTAAATCTTGAATTTGAAGGTGTTACAGATAATCTAAGAAATATATTAAAAATGATTCAGTGTGAGCTGAAGAATATATATATCTTAATTGAAATAGATTTTAAATATATATAAATATATTTATAATTTATTTTTTTTTTTTAGCTCTGTTGCAGATATTTGCTGACGGCCTCCTCTTCTTTTTGTGTTTTTCTCTGCAGGTGGGAAGCGGAAGCCTCTTTGTGCCAGTCTGTGGAGAGGGACTGTCAGGCTCTGAAGAGAGCGAAGGCAGACCATGATCAGATCATCGCCACCCTGAGAGGAGACCTGGACAGCCTGAAGGAGGAGCTGTACTACCTCAAGAAGAACCACGATGAGGTGAGATTCCTACGTGAAGTCCATGTCCAAGAGGAGGACTCAGCAGGACAAAACTGTGAGACTGAATCAGAATGGATATTTTTTTTAATCGCTGTTATTCGTTGTGATGTATGTGTGGCCAGAACTATTCGTCATTCTTTTAATTCACGTCAAAGAAAGTGTAAGAAACAGAAAGTGGTTGTCTTTGAGTCAATACACATTTGTTACCTGACTGGATCCAAAATTAGAAGTTTATCTTCCCATAAGTCCTGTTAAACCAGTCTGTGAAAAAACAAAAAGTGATTTTGGACAGTTACATCTTGCGCTGATGGCAAGGCCCAGTTTTATTTTGAAATGCCCATTTTTGTTTTACAGTAACTTATCGGACAGATCCAATCAGAATGCTGTGAGACGTTAGCGAGGCTCTCTCAGCTGCATGAAAACCACTTCCCTGAATCTCTGTAGGACTAAATAAGTCCTAATCTAAAACGCTGTAGTGTTTATTTCACTCAGGTTTACCAATACCTGAAACATGATAATGGCACTTGTACAGACACACCCACTGTATTTAGTAACCAAAACGCTTTAAGATATCAAGATAACTTCCATTTACACGACACAGGAGTCGGCTCAGCTGCAGACGCTGCCGGGAGTGTTTAGACAGTCAGGTGTGGCGTCCAGGATGTGACCTCAGACTTAAGGTTTTGTTTTATAGTTTGCAGTTTACACAGTATTCACACACACACAGCGATAATCAACACATATTGTGCAGAAGGATCATTTATGTTCCCTCCAAGACACTTTTTAAAAGCAAATAATATAAGATTATAAGTGACATCAGTGACAAATAAAACCTTTATACCTGCTATCAAAACATTTCCCACCAATAAAGTCTTAACTTTAGCAGGATAAAGGTTTTCAAATGTTAATTTTGTAACAAGATGGCATGCAGTAAATACAATTATCCTCTACAGTTACCTTTAGTGCAAATATATGTATTTTTTAGTGTTGGGCAAAGATAATTTTTTTTAATCGCGATTAATCTAAAATATTTTTGCGATTAATCTAATTGTGCACAAAATTAAATTATGACTTAAAGATATTTAGAACATTTGTAAGGTACAGTTTTACATATTAAAAAAAAATACAGTAAAAAAAGCATTTTTAACAGCAGTTTTATCCTAGCAAATAAAGTATTTCAAGTAACATAAACGTGAACAACATAATTTGGGTGTAAATATTAAAGTGATAGTAGAACAAATCTACAAATCCATGTGAAGATTCTGGTCCAAAGAGAAAAACTCGACCTAAAGGTCAAAAATACACATTAAGAATGTCATAAAAAAAAAAAAAACTGTCTTATATAGCATGTACAGACATATAAAGGAAATAAAAATATATAACATATATATAACTAACAGCAGCTCCAGGTATGTAAAAGAATAAGGACAGCAGATTTTATTTGTTTTCCGAAACCAGACTTGTTCAGATTAAGAATGACAAGATTCAAAACTGTTCACTTTTTATACACATCAGACATATAAAACCTTTTGAACTTGTTCTTGTTAGATCTCTCGCTGCAGCTGAGAGAATCTGCTACTTCACTTCAGTTGGCCAAAACTCAGAGGACCGTTATTATCTGCCTTTGTCTGAAATCAGGGGGCCATTGTTTAGGTAATAGCCATGCATGTTCCTTCATAAATGCACCTCTGTTATTACTGTAAGCTGCATACATTCAGCTGGAAAATGGTGGTAACATGAGAAACAAGTGCTGAGCAAAGTGTTGTTTTAACAGAAAAACACTTGGACAAACAGCAGCAGCCCTCTTCGTTCACTTTTTCTTTTATATCTGGATAAATGATCGGCTTATTCGAGCAGCTCAGACTTCAGGACGGCCACAGATGAAAGATGTTAAACTATTAAGTATTGTTTGTCGTGTCCCCTTCTATAATTATTGCAGGAGATGAGCACCCTGAAGGCGCGTCTCACCAATGAGCAGGTGAGCGTGGAGGTGGATGCAGCTCAGGGGCCCGACCTGGGGGCCATCATCGCTGAGCTGAGAGTCCAGTATGAAGGTATTGCTCGCAAGAACAAGGAGGAGGCTGAAGCCTGGTACCTCAAGAAGGTCAGCATTAATCAGCTTTTATTCTTCTCTTGTTGTTGGAATGCGTCTTTATTTCTTCTCCCCTCGGTTACTGAACAAGCGTAGCCTTTACACGATGTTCTGATGTTCACAGTTGGAGGAGGTTCAGTCGGAGGTCAAAGAAAACAACGAGGCGCTGCGTTGTGCTCAGGGCGAGCTCAGTGAAAGGAAACGGTTCCTGCAGGCTCTGGAGGTCGAGCTCGACAGTCTCCGGAGACAGGTAACACAAAGATCATTAGTGATGCAGAAGCCTCAAGTCATCGTTCATTCCACTTGGACAGACGTTCTTGTCATTTGTTTAGTTCTTCAGACTTCATGAAGGTGTTTCAGGTTCTCCTTAGGAGTGACAAGGATGGATAAGATGAGGAATGAGATCATGAGAGGTACAGCACAGGTTGAACAACTGGGAGATAAAGTTAGAGAGGACACACTGAGATGGTTTGGACATGTCCAGAGGAGGGACAGTGGGTATATTGGTAGAAGGACGTTAGAAATGCAGCTGCCAGGAAAAAGACAAAGAGGAGATATATGGATGCAGTTAGAGAGGACATGGAGGAAGATGGAGTGAGGACAGAGGATGCAGAGGACAGAGATGGAGGAGGATGACTCGCTGTGGTGACCCCTGAAGAGGGAAAAGTTGAAAGATGAAGAAGAAGTCAATTTTTTTGTTTTGTTAAACCACTTAACTCTGATCTATGAATCCTTCAACATAACAAGGCTCCCAAACAACAAATTAATTCATTTCACTTTATTTCTATAGCACCAAGTCACACCAGAAGTCGGCTCAGGGCACTGAACAGAAACATCCACACACATTATATAAGACAATCAGCAAACGTTATCTATATATGGAAGTCAGCAGATTACATTGAATCTTTACTTCGTCGCAGTCTCCCATCCTGAGCAAGCACAAAGGCAACAGTGGAAAGGAAAAACTCCCTTTTTAACAGGAAGAAACATCAGCGGCCATCTGCTTCAACCAGCTGAGGTTTGAGAGAACAGGAAGTAGAAACTAACACAGAATGACAGGTCCAGGTGTACATTCTATAGTAGGAAAGACCAAAAAGACACGTTAAGGATATAAATAATTACAAATACAAACAGGTAGAGCAAGTAAAGACAGCAGCAAAGTGAGGAAATGTGGACAATTTGTCCTCCAGCAGTCTAACCTCTTCCTCTGAGACCTGCAGTGACAGTTAGTGGAAAACAGCTGCTTACTCTTTGTTTACATTGAGCTTTTACTGCAGGGGACTCAGTGTACTCAGTTCAGTGTGTCAGGACACAAATGTTCTGTCAGCATCACA